CAAGACGAAAAGGCTCGACTCTGCAGGCGAAAGCTAACTGTTACCAGCTTTGATCCTCTGTCTCGCAAAGAAACGGCCAAAAAAAACAACAAGACAGTGGCCCCGTAGCGGCAGAGCGAGCAGCACCCGGGGCCTTTTGATCAGGCCAGAGGGAGGCCCCAAAGAAGGGCTTTTATCTCTGCTCACCATTGCAGGTGTCTGCTCTCACCCCTCAAACGGGGGGTTGCTGTTCTTTCCACTCACTGTGTATGGTACAACTGAGTGTGAGCGACACAGGAGTGAACGTCACAATTACGCCGTGTAAACATAAACATGCAAAGTTTGTAAGACACTGCTACCAACGTTGGGGTGTTAAAAGACAACAGCTGGAAACCACCTGGAAACATGGATATAAAATATATCATTAAAAAAAGACTTGGGAGGAAACTGTTTGCGTGTTACCTTCATGTAGGTGGACCGGCGCCTAAAGTACTGCGGCTCAGGCGTCCTCCTGGATGTTCTGCTGCTTCCTCCTTCCTCTTGAGCCTCCGCAGATCTCATCACCACAAAGTTCACACGCATCTCACTGGCCTGTTGGCACAAAGAATAAAAGCAAATGATTTTACACAAACAAATTTCATACAAAGCTCCTATTATGAATTCCTCTGCCAGGTGGTGTTTACATTGAGGGTTTTGCATGTCTGGTCCACTAACTATCACCTAGGATACATTTTCCATGCTGTGATTGATGGCCCTCCTGGGTGCCTTTGGTCTGTAGAAATTTTAAGATGTATTATGACTTGTAAAGACTTGCTGGGGACAGAGTCCATAATAAACATACTAACAGATGCTTCTTTCATGTCTGTACAAGTTGTAAACAACCTGTGTCCCAAAATGTTGTCAATCAGTTCAATGTTATTTCTTTATATAGCACCAAATCACAACAACATTTGCCTCAAGGCACTTTACATTGTAAGTTAAGGGCTGCACAATAATAATGTTGATGTCACTTTTTGAATAACTTTTGTGATGTGCAAGTCCTTTTTATTCTTTGTGTTTTTACTTACTTTAAACAGCATCTTAACTTTGTTTATTTAAGAAATAAGGGTGCAGTCTGTTATCTACCTGTATAATCTGGGCTGCACTTTCAGGTGTCCCATGCCTCAGGTCGTGTCCATTGATGGCCAAAACTTTGTCATTGTTCCTCAGTTTTCCATCCTTAGCTGCCAAACCACCAGCCAGCAGGTCCAAGATAAAAACCCCACTCTCATCTGATTTGCGGATGAGTTTAATGCCGAGCGGCTCTGTGCGCTGGCTCTTCACTAGCGTCACCTGCAGGACTGTACCAGGGTTGTTACTGGAGGTAGCGTTGCTATGGGGACTGTGAGAGCCCGGGGAGCCGGTGGAAGTGGGTTGGTTTTGGTCTGAGCGTTGATCCCTTAATTTGAAACCTTTCTCCTGCATGACGGTGAGCCTGAGGAGGGAGGGCAGCTGCAGCACTGCGATGGCCCGAGTGTGGGGAACTGAAGCCAAGCTGATGTCATTCACCTGGAACACGACACCACAAAGAGGAGAAACAACACCGTCACTGATAAAGCAGCTGAGCGCAAACATTACCTGCCTTCACTGTGTACAGTTATTTGTCAAGCATAAAAGAGATCAACCTTTCTTGACAGTGGTGTAATTTGATGTGCTTGGAAATAAAGCTTTGTCATATCTGGCTTTAATGCTATTTAGCATGGTTGCCACAGCAAGATGAACATGCAGATTTTGGGTTGTTCTTGCCGTTAGGCAATAGTACTAACCACCGTGTCGCCCCGCAATACAACGCCCTGCATTAATACGATTTCTGTTTTCCAGAAAAGAGCTGACGCGACCTAATTCAATGATTCTGTACAGTTTTCTTTTCACAGGCGGTCCATTTGTGCTCATTGTGTTTTAGCTTCTTTAACACAATTTGGTTATTTTCATAAGTGTCTTTCGGCTGGACAGAAACACCAACTGGCATGGATG